AAGGAATGAGACAATAAAAGGCAGGACAAAGGGTGCAGAGTCATTTCAGCTTAGCAAAATAAGCTCACTTTGTTGTTGGGGAAAGCCAAAGCGGATTAGGATAAACCAATGACTAAGCATAAGTCTTTCAAACTAATTACACAGTTTGCCATGTGAAGTATAATTGGAAACCTCCAAATGTGGGCTGCCTCGCTCTCACAGGAGTCCTACCGAGTGAGCATCACCTATCAAGCCAGGGCACACCTGAGCAGCTCTGTCATCTGGGGAGCAGCTGAATGGTGTACAACTTCCTGCTCCATCTGTGACCAAGCAAAAAGCTCGGTGTTTCAAGGCCTCTCTATGATCTACAAGTGGCAATGTAAGAAACTCCTCCTTGCTGAAGGGATAAAGAAAGAGGGAAACTCAAATGCATGGGGTTTCTTTGATTTAGATTGCTTTAATTACCCAGCTGGGCTCTTCTGGGTGGCTTCTGCAGAACAGTCCCTCCCATTGCCTGGGACTGCACAAGGATAACAGAGCATTCTTTGGAATGGCCTATATATACATCATTTCCGTAGGTATGGAATCATGAAATGCAGATAATATCCACTAAGAAACCAAGGCAGCTAAATAAATTACTGTACATCAGTGTTTTTGACAAATGAACAGAACTTGCTCTCCCTTAGTGTCAAAGTAGGAGCTGGGAGTTTTTTTGGTAAAAGGGAAAAGGTTATATTATGCAAAAATGAGTGACCATCCACGCTCTGCCCAGTATGCAGAGATGTTAGACAATGGCCTCTTCCCCATCACCCACATAACAGATATGCACCTATCTCACTGACATCCTTGAGAAGCACATTGTAACATCCCTAAAAAGCTTAGCACCAAGCACAATAAACTTTAATAAAGAAAAATCAAAACATAGCACAAAGTATCTTCAGAGTAAAATGAGAGCCATGCAATCCCAAGTTGTATTCATTTAGATCTAGTTCTTGCAGTAGGGAGATAGCAGAACCATATGGTTTGTTTGGGTCTTAGACACAGGATGAAGATTTCAATTATAAATAGCGACCTTCTTCCCTGCATCATCAAGTCCAGAAATAAACTCTAATATGGTTAAGACTCTTTGGTTATTACCTAACATGTTCACAACTCTTCATAATGCATTGTTTTGGATTGTATAGATACCTCCAATTATCATATATTATCTATTTATATTTAGGATTTCTACATCACTGACTTTTTAAACTTAAAACCAATTTTAGGAATAATTATTCAATAAGGGATTAGAAAATTTGCCCCAAAATATAGCTCATCTATTTTTGATGAATAAAGTTTTACTGGAACTCCATCACCAGACCCCTTGTCTGTTTATATGTTGGTTGTTTGCTCCCTACAGCAACATTTGCAAGAAGTTGCAATAGAGACAATACAGTTTGCAAGGCAGAAATATTTACTACTCTAGCCCTTTACAAGTTTTCAATCTCTTCCTTCAGAAAAGAAACCAAGGCCAGCACAGAAATAACCTGTCCCAGGGTATCACATTAGTCCCAACATGATGGCCAGAACAACTTACCTTGCTCCAAGGCAGACATCAGAACAGCTACCCAGAGGGAAGGCAGCCATCTAAGTTATCCTTACACCAGTGGCCTTACCTCACAATTTCATGTTAAATGTAAGTGTCCCTAACCTTCTGGGAGGAAGGTGGAAGAAAGCACAATAAGCCTCCAATCTGAGTTATTTAAAGCCCTTGGTGTGTCATTCTGAACCCACTCCACTTTCAGTAATGACATATTTAAACTCCTTTAGCTAGGCCCCTTGATAACAGTCTAACCCATCTTCCCTGTACCTGAAACACACAGTTGGAGCAGCTGACACTTCAGACAGGAAGAGAAGGGACAACAGAGTGACAGGAAGGGAAACCTAGAAGGTGGCATACCCAGTGTGGAGGCTGCAGAGACAATTAAAAGTTCTAGACTTGGAGAGAATGGAAGCAGCATAGGAATTTTGGCTTATATACTGCTTAGCTAGCTGAGTTTGGCTGAATCTTATCCTCCCTGGCCCTTACCAGGTCACCAAATGACCTGGATGACACTGCTTTCCACTGTACAGGCAGGCACTGTTCCTAGGCCCTCCAAATGGACACCAGGCCTTTCTCTCATGCAGCCATCCATCCTACATCTATCCTAGGAACTGATTAGAGGTTGGAAAAGAGCAATGTCCAGGTTCTGTTATCAGATGAACAGGCTTCTTTGGGGGATATGAGTTTATGTATCCAACTCTACCTCTCAGAAAGCTATGACATTAAGTCCAAGATATAACCATACTGGGAGGCCATTTAACAACCTGCAATGTGAAAACACCACCACTGGCCTCCTAAAGAAAAATTAAAACAAGTAAATGGCCTGGTCCAGAGTTCAGCTCTTTTTATAAATAATAAAATTACATCTTACTAACTTGCAGTTGGTACGAAGGGTAGCCCAAAACAACTGCAGACTTAGGAACGTGAATGTATACATATGGGTGCACTTATATCTGAGTATATTCACACAAGAACAAGTACATATGTATGTGTGTGCGTGCACCCACATGCGTGCACATGTGCATACAAGTCACCTCCTTCAACCAGAATATATACTATTCAAAGGTAGAGTCAGATTGTCAACTTATCTGTTACCTTCTTTCACAGTTGCTGGATTTATTGATGGTTCCAAGGCCTAGCAGCAGCCTTTCCTTACTTTGATCATTCTGAAGTCAAACAAATTACACCAGAATCCTGAGAGGTGAGCCTGCGCAAGGGGCCACAGACCTAACATTTGCTACAGGGAATGAGAAGCAAGCTCTTCTGAAGGCAGACCCAGATAATACACAGAGCATATATGTGAGATAAGCTGGTAACATGTGAGCAGAAAGAAGATTGTGGGTTTTGATACGCTCAAAAGCCTCCTTAGTCCTTTAATGAAACACTTGATCAGTTAACACATCCTGCCAGCATGCACAAACACTACTGCACAATTAACTGGGCAGCATCAGACCCACCAAGTGCTATGCCAGAGAAGATGGTTTGTGACTGTTTCCCACACAAAAGGACAAGTGTTCTCAGGGAAGTGACGAAAGCAGCCATGGCCATGGCTGAGACTTGCAGGGCATTGCGCCACTGACATTCTGGGTCACAATTATATGTGTTAATGAGAAACAATGGAAAGACAGACAGAAGGGAAGAGAGAGAAAAGGAGAAGAGGAGGAAACAAAGATTGGGGGACATACAGACACATGGTGTCTGTTGACAAGCCCAGACCTGTTTGGAATACTCTTAACAACTCATCTAGGCAACATCAACTTCTTTGACACCAGCAAAAAAAGAGGCCCAGGAGATTCCAAGGCAGGTTATGGCTTGAAAAATAATCCCACCTCATGTTTGCAAACACTACCCCTGGACTTGTTTTAAAGGCAGAAAGACGAATCACCCTCCAGATCTTTCCATTATATAAGATGGACTTGTCTCATTTAATTATTTCCAACCCTCTCCCCTCAGGCAGGGTGGGGCCAGGTGATGGACAAATCCCCTTGTACCTTAAATCTGTCTTGGAGAGAGAAGTACTGAAAAGTGCATGGTCCCTGGCACATTTAGCTGTTCCCTAGAACCAGCCAAAATGAATAGACTTCCAACTGGCAGTGTCAGAAAGAGCTGTGGAGAAGGCATCTTTCAAAACCCATCTAGGTGGGCAAGTCAGTGCCATTTCAAATGCACAGCATGGCTGGAAAGGGCTGGTTTCACCTTGTTGCATGGTCTCATATTCATGCAGAAATTGATTAACACCAGAGACAGAGAAAAATCTCCATTTCAAAGCTAAATAAAGGTCATGGCCCTCATCCCAGACAGTGGCTCATAAACAGATAAACCTGGGGATGGTGTCATAGATGCCCATCGCCCTAGGCAAACAAGCTGAAAGCACAGAACCTTCCCGCCGCTGGCCAGTGGGAGGTGGTGCCCTTGTCCTGCCCGTGGCAAGCATGACAGCTAATGTGGGAGTAAATAAATGAGTGATGAGGGTAGCACAGGCACCACATTTTCCCAGAATGTCACAGTGCTCTGCTGTATTAGCCCTTTAGCGAGAAAGGCAGACCTGTGTGGAAAAAGCTGGCCTCAAAGATGCAGGAAGTAAAGGGCTAGGTCTGTGGGTCACCTGCCACCCTCCTTGGGACTGGGCTTTCTGCAGGAGCCACAGAGGGAGATTTTACAAAGAGCAAAAGAGATCATCCCCCCTGGGCCAACAGGGAAGGAACAAAGGCCCTCAGGAAAAACACACCTGCCAAGACATAGTCTCTCTCTACCAACTAGAAAGAAGTCACATTAATCACCTATGGAAGTCCCTGATGTCTGTCTGTCTGTCTGTCTGTGAATCTCCATGTGTCATATGTGTACCTTCTCACCTTCCATTTCTTGGTGGATTTGAGGCTCCAGTGCCCAGCCTATTCCATCAGCAGAGCTCAGAGCATCGTTCTGCTGCTGTCTCGTGGGCCCTCAGGTCAGAGAACACCAGGTACAGACTGGTACAGGTGTTGGGTACAGCCAACATTTTTCCTGAGTCTCCTGCGCTTGACAGAGAGTATTCAGCTGCCAAGAACCCCAAGGAGCCTCATCTATCAATGCATTTTCCAGAAAAACATAGAATAAGAAAGCTAGCACCAGTATACAGGCTTCCAGAAGCTTCTGTAGGCGCCTCTGTCCTGTGAGTCAGTCACAGCCCTGCAGCCCTAACCCAATCAAATGTTAGCAAAACCATGTTGAAAGGCCACTCTGCCTGGTCCTGCAGGCTCATGGGGAATCAGGCTGATCCCATCCCAGACTTTTCCATAGTGGTTCCTGCAGAAAGTCATTTCAATGGTGATAGTTAAGTTCAAGGACAACATTCTTAAAGACACAGCTATGGCAAAGGCAGGGCCATGATTGCTACTCCTAAAGACCAATCAGCTAGCTTCCTTTGAACTGTGCTACCCAACCCCCTCACAGCACTTACCTTGCCAAACTGCTCAAAGTATTGCTTTACATCTTCCACTACGGTGTTCGCAGATAATCCGCCTACAAATATTTTCTTTGTTCTTGTGACCATCTGCAAGAAATGACAAGAGGATGACACAGGTTAACCAGGTTATCTGAAGCAATGCTTGATAAGATTCTGAAAAACACGCCCCACTCCACCTTTCTGTAGAAAGGCAATTTGAAATCTATGAAGGCAGCACGGACCAAGCCATTCAATATCTAAGAATGCTGCTCTGCATATCTTAGACATTCTGTCTGCCAGAATGAAGAAAAGTCCCTACTGACAGAGTAGACTTGGGATCATTGGGATCCCAAGATGTGGCATCATTCTAATGTACTAGTATGTAGCCCAAAAACAAAACACACACACACACAAAAAAAAAAAAACCTCAGACTATTTTCAATATAAGAGATGCAGATAAAACACAGCTAACATCATAAAACTTGCTGCTGAGACTGTATCCCCCCAAAATGTGTGCAATAACAACTGCATACATAAGCCTGTAATCCCAGCTATTGGGGAGGTGGAGACTGGGAGCAAAAAACTAGCAAGACCAGCCCATCTCAATCAACAAGCCAGATATGGTGGCACATTTCTATCATCTCAACTTCATCAGTGGGCACTTTCTTAGAGAAAGATCAATGTCCAGGACAACTCTGGGAGAAAAAAAAAAAACCCACAAGAAAACAAGACTACAAAAGCATAAGACTAAAAAGCATAAGAAAGAGTTGGGGGTATGGCTCAACTAGTAGAACATCTACCTCACAATGTGAGCACAAGGCCTTGAGTTCAAATTTAGTTCCACTAAATTAAAAAAAAAAAAGAACTGTACATATAATTCAGGTCTGTCTGTGCTCAGCTGTTCTGATGTTGGTATATGTCCATACACAAGGTAGATGCCAACCTCACACCTGGGGACCACCCCGCAAGTGCTGTAGCTGCTCTTTCTAAATTTTTCATAACTCACCTTGATTCACCCTACACCCTAGTTAAGTCCTGGTGATCCCCAGATCAACACACCTCTGCTCTCACAGGACTTTCTTCTTGGAATGTCTCTCCAGGCCTAAGTCTTCCCATGGCAAGTTGTAACTATCCTCCAAGGTCCCATGACCTTCTCCAAAATTTATACTTGCTATCCCAGCCAGAAGCTACTCTGCTCTCCTCTGAAACCTCTAAGCATCGGACCCATAGCGTGCCAGCAGCACCCATAGTTCCACACCAACCTCCCTCTTGCCAAATGACTTCCTTCTCCACATGGTCTAGACTTCTGACTCCCTGAAGAATCCTCTTCAATGCTGAGCACAGGGTCAGACACTACCCACTCTGAATGGTTCATGGAGGAAAAATAAGCAAATAGAGTCACATTTTAGAGTCCCACCAGTTCCAAAGCAAAATCTCTGCTCAGAGCAGAGGTTAAACATTTTACATGCAAGAGCCAAAAATTAAGGAAATAAACTCAGCTCTAAAGATTTAGTTTAGGCTGTTATGCTGGGCTTAATGTCAAAATTAAAAACTGTGGCCAGGTGGCAGCACATGTTTCTAATCCTAGCACTGAAGAGGATTGTGAGGTTCCAGATCAACCTGGCCTACAGAGCAAGACCCTATGTGTCCAAAAGTAAAAATAATTAAAAACAAAACTTAAACAAAACTGAAAAAAAATTTAAAAGATATAAAAATACAGTGAGTGCCATCTGAATACCTATAATAAAAACAAATGCCATCTACACTGATTATGGCAGGATACAGGAAACTACAATAGATGGGTTGTGGCTGCCTTACCGGGATGCTTGGCACGTTTGCTGAGTGCATGAATAAACCAACCCACTTCCAATAGATCACCTGAGTGATACTAGAGGCACAGAGGGTACTAGGGGCACATATGTCACTATAACCCACAGGCTGAGCCTAAACTAGAAGACCCTTGTAATGGACTTTCTACACTGTTTTAAGGTGTCCTAATGACCATATTGTCTCTTGCCTTCTTCCTGCTGCCTAGGAAGAGTGTACCACCACTTGCTTGCCTGTTAAAGCCCTGTTTACTGGTTGCCATCTCTTTTGGGATATGAGCCAAAGTCATTTAAGTGAGAACATTTTTCAACCACCCTGCCAGTGTCCCCTATCACCAAAGCTTCCAGGACCCTCATGTTCTACTCCTGCTCCTTCTGTCTATCCTCCTTTTTTATCCATACATAAAGTACCCCTGGAAGATCAAGGTCACATTAATGGTGAAATTCCATCAGGCCTTGTGATGGTTAATCTTGTCAATTTGATTAGATTGACAGATGCCTAAGAGATTAGTAAAGTTCATTTGTGTTTCTATGACAGCATCTCCAGAGATGATTGATATGTGGGGCAATATATGAGGGGGAATGTGGGTGTCACCACACAATAGGCTTGGGAACTAGATGGAATGGAAGTGGAAATAAAAAGGTAGCTAACACAAGCAAGCAGCCTCTTTCTTTTTCCCTCTAGCTGTCTCCTTCCTGATTACTACGATGTAAGCTGCTGCTGCTCTCACCCATGTCCTTCCTGCCAGGACAGACTGAAACCTCTAAATCTGCCCCGGGGGAGGAGGAAATTTATTTTGGGAGGAGGGCCAGTAACTGGGACTTGAACTCAGGGATTCATGCTCTCACTTGGCTTTTTCATTCACAGAAGTACTTTAACACATGAGCCACATCTCTACTTCTGGCTTTTTGCTGGTTAATAAGAGTCTCAGACTTTTCTGCCTGGGCTGACTTCAAGCCAGGATCCTCAGATCTCAGTCTCCTGAGTAGCTAAGGATTATTATAGGGGTGAGCTAGCAGCACCCAACAAATCCTTCCTCATTGAAGTTGTTTACCACCAGTATCCTGTCAAGGCTATAAGAGAAGCTAACATGTTGAAGTCTCTTCCTATACTCACTAATCACCAAATTTTACTAGCCTAACTTTCTCAATGTATTCACTCAACAAATACATAAGTGCTAGGTGCCGGTGCTTTACATTCTCACAGAATGTGGAATTCAGCTCACTATCAAATGAAGACATAATAATTAGCCCACTACACAAGGTTCCCACGAGGGCTAAATTAAATATCATATGCCTAAGAGTCTAGCAGGGCATGTGGAGATGAGAAATAAATGGTTACTGTAATGGAATCCACAGCTAGATACTGGATTCATCCCTTTACACTCAGACAAAATGTGCAGCACTAAGACGTGTTACACAAAAAGCTTAGAAAACCCAACTCCCACTGCTCTACTCTCTTCCACTATAATTTCAAAAACACTATATCTACATAGCATCAAAGCTGCTGAGACTCCCAATAGCTAATTTCAGATTTTCCATTTCTTTCTTTTTATTAACCCCAATACAGACAAGTAATTAAATATCTGTAAAGAAACACTACCATGATCTACACACATTTGCTGATGGGAGCCTGGACTGATAGCACCTCTGGAGAGGCCGTCTATGAAAGGAAGACCGGGCCCCCTTTATATACATTGCTCAGAAGCAGCTGAGACAGAGAAGGCTCTGCTGCATTCCCAACATTCATGTGGACCACCATGTCTTCACTCCACGTCACAGAAAAGCAACAGAACATTCATTCCCCAGAAAACGGTCCAATGAAAGAATCTCTTCATACATCTTCCACCATCACCTTTCAACCAGCCATAAACATGCCATCACAGAGCCCTAAACACAGAGGCAGATACCCAGCTGTAAATCTACAGATCCAACCACCCTGCCAAAAAAAGAAAAGGGGAAAAAAAAGCCTTTAAAATACTCTTTTTGGAAGGATGAGAAATTCCAGGTCCAAGACAGTGTACCAAAGTGTCTGCGTTTCTGAAAACATCCTCTCCAGGAACCAGCTCAGAGGCAGTGACAGATCCTACTGAGTACACAATAAAGAGAACCTGCTTAATCAAAACCTTCCAGACGTGGAAAGGCCAGTGGGAAGATGTGTGACACTTGGTTAGCTGCTCACTGATGCTGTGGCTTCGAAGAGGGGAGCACAGCTGGGGGAGTCAGGGTGCTGTGCATGGTGACCTCTCCTGCCAGGGCCACAGGGGAGAAGGGGAAGTAGGGATGATCAACTTCGTGAGTCCTAATGCCATCACTGCCAAATGGAGTGTGGACTGCTTGGTGATTTGCATTCTGGTGAGACTCACAGGAGGAAGCAGAAGACCCTAGAATCACATTCTTCTCTCTGTTTCCCTTCCATTTCCATGGCTACTGAGAAAGACAGGGAGGGAGTGGTGCTGGGATATCCACCCTCAGTGGAAGTAAACTGACATCATACAAGCTTGGTGCATGTGTGAGTCTGCACACAAGTACATGTGTATGCACAGTGAAATGTCTGTGGGTATTCAGAGTAACTCTCATCCTCAAGTCGGGAACTATCCAGTGCTCCTCTCCACACACATCTGACCTTCTGACCTTGGGAAAAATGGACAAGGAGAAGGTACTTGCCAGCTCCTAGGCTCTATGCTTCTCTGTGTTACAAGAAAAAAAATTTCTGCTAGGCACTGATAGTTCACTCCTGTAACTTTAGCTACTCAGGAGGCTGAGATCTGAGGATAGTGATATAAAGCCAGCCTGGGCACAAAAGCCCATCAGAGACTCTTATCTCTAATATCAGCCCTGAACACCCCCACCCCCCAAAAAAGCAAAGGACAGTGTGTTCAAACTCCAGGACCAGCACACAGAAAAATCCTTTCCACCCAATGAAGTCACCTTTGTTTCCTTCCTGCACTAGGCACCTGACACCTCTGCGGTACTTAACCAGTACAGGGGTACTGGCTACTGCACACCACAATGCTCAGAGGCCATCCACATGTTTTGAGTGCACACAGCCCAAAATCTAGTGACTAGGAAACTCTCAAACATCTCTCCCTGAGTTTGTGGTGAAAGGGATGCAGGAAAGCTTCCAGTATGAGTGCTTTACACAAGCAGTGATACCACCCAACTCTGGCACTCCAAAAAGCCCTCCATTTATGGTATAGGTCTCACTCAGGGAAGTAGCGTGGTTGTGAGTGGTGTGTGTGTGCGTGTGTGTGCGTGTGTGTGCGTGTGTGTGTGCAAGCA